GTATGCGAAGTATATACGAGCTTTATGATAAAAGATCATATGATAGTAGTGTTATATTTAGAGATTATGTAAAAACATATTCTAAAATATTTAAAAAAGTGTGCTCCACTGCTAAGGCTTTACATTTTACCAACAAAATTAAAACTGCATCCGACAAAATTAAAATGACCTGGAGAATAATAAATAGTGAAACGGGCAAGGTCAAACCGCGCAACTCGGATTTTCAATTGAATATTAACAATAATTTAACGCGATCTGATCAAGAAGTTGCTATGGCTTTTGAAAAACATTTTACTGACGTTCCTTTTTTGACAACAAAATCATTAAATTCTTCTCCTACTGTCGCCGAATCATTGCTCAAACAAAATGTAAAGGTTTGTTCAAATACTTTTAAATTCCATAGAGTACTGCCAAAAGATATCGTTAAATATTTTAAAACTATTGATGTTAAGAAAACGGCAGACTTATGGGGGATTTCCGTTAAAGTTATTTTATCTATAATAGATATATTAGCACCTTATCTAGCCACTATATTTAATATAAGCGTCGAATCTGGTGTGTTTCCTGATTTAATTAAACATAGTAAAGTCATACTATATTTAAATCTGGTAGTACATGAGACCCCGCCAATTTTAGACCAATTTCTGTACTACCAACATTAAGTAAAATTTTTGAAAATATTAGTTTAGATCAGATGTTAAGTTTCTTTAATATTAATAAATTGCTACATAAAAATCAATTCGGTTTTACAAGGGGTCGCTCGACAACTGACACTGGAGTTGAGCTTATTAAACATATTTTTTGTGCATGGGAGAATTCAGAGGATGCTTTGGGTATATTTTGTGACCTTTCCAAGGCCTTCGACTGTGTTCACCATGAGACATTAATCAGGAAGCTACAGTACTATGGTGTCAAGAACACAGCGCTTAAACTTATTATTTCATATTTAAGTAATAGAAAACAGAAGGTTATTATCAATGGTAAAAGTTCTTCCGGGTCACCTGTACTAATGGGTGTTCCTCAGGGCTCGATTCTCGGCCCATTCCTGTTTCTGGTGTATATTAATGACTTACCTCACCTTGCAGGGGATAGTCATGATATAGTATTATTTGCTGATGATACTTCCTTGATTTTTAAACTTAAACGTCAATCATTTAAATGTGACGAAGTGAATAATGCTATATCAAAATTAGTGCATTGGTTTTACGTTAATAATCTGCATTTGAACGGAAATAAAACTAATTGTCTTAAATTTACAACAACGAATGTTAAAATATTTTATTTTTTATTTTATTTTATTTTATTCGGAAAACTTACAGCAATTTCTTATAATTAAATAAAAGATATAATAATATACTATTAAGCCATTTACAAGTTTCCACTTTTAGAATTAAAAATAAAAAGTATAAACAAAAGACAATTCAAAGATATATTAACTAGTTAACAATAGGTACCTTAAAGTTAAAAAGCTATGTTTATTATGAATATTTTAAGACTTAATATAAAAATTTAAGCAAAATATTCACTGGTTAAGGTACTCTTGGCCACACTCGGGGTAGTATAAAATGGATCAATATCAAAATTAAGCGAGTTTATAAATTTAGCAGTTCTAATCATGAAAGAATTACGTCTATAGTTCGTATGAGCTCTGTTTATGTAAAGAAGTTTGCGTTTCCTCTTATTTGCTAATGGAACATTTAAAGTAACATCAGATAATAATTCCGGGGAGTAAATTGAACCATTGCAAATTTTTAGATAAAAACATACGTCATTAATATTACGCCGAACAGATAAAGGAAGAAAGTGATATCGTTTGCACCTCTCTTCATAGTTCTGAGAATCTGTATGCGCTCTATAATCAAGATACTTTAGAAACCTTTTCTGGATACCCTCAATACGAGACTTATAAACCTCATATTGTGGGTTCCAGACCTGTGATGCATATTCAAGAATAGGACGTACAAATGAACAGTAGAGAATTTTTATCGTCTTTAGGCTGTTGAAGGCACAAGAACAGCGGATGACAAATCCCATGGCTTTATATGCCCTAGTTATAATGCTAGATATATGCTTGTCGTAGATAAGTTTAGAATCTTGAATTATTCCAAGATCACAAGCTTCATATACCCTAGCCAAAGAGGTACCCTTCAATTGATAGCCGCCATTGATTGTATCGCTTTTCCTTGTAAAGGACACAAAAAAACATTTAGATACATTTAAATCTAGTTTATTTATTTTTGCAGTATGTTTCAAATCTTTCCAAGTCTGATTGCAATAATATAGTATCATCTGTGCTAGAGATGAATTTAAGTATTTTCATATCATCAGCATATAAGAGTACTTTGGAGTACAAGAAACACTTCTCTATATCGTTCACAAAGATAATAAATAGTAGGGGGCCCAACAGAGAGCCTTGAGGTACGCCTGAAGGAACCGGTAGCCAAGCGGACATAAATCCATTAAGCACTACTGCTTGTGACCTATTTTCAATATAAGAGGAGAACCATCGCAGAAGATCTCCATGTATACCTGACATTGCCAATTTTTTTAAAAGGATTTGATGATCTATTCGATCGAAACATTTACTGTAGTCAGTATAAACACAGTCAACTTGGAGTCCAATGTCCATACCTTTTGAAATGTAATTATTTGTAAGGATCAGATTAGTAACAGTTGATCTTTTTATAAGAAATCCATGTTGGGAATCGCTAAGTATAGGGGAAATAGAATTGTACACTTGTTGATATACTACCTTTTCAAATACTTTAGCAAATAAACATAGTTTTGATATAGGCCGGTAATTTTCTATTTTTGTGGTGTTCCCTTTTTTATGAACAGGTGTGATGTATGCCTGCTTCCAAATTTTGGGAACAACACCTTCAGATATCGATCGCTTAAAGAGAATGAACAGAGGTTCCGAAAGCTCTTTGCAACAATTAACTATAAAAATAGGTGGTATAAGATCCGGCCCACCCGATTTGTTGAGATCCAATGACTCAAGTAATTTATTGATTTCAGTTTTATTAATACATATGGTATTCAAACTAACTGAGTTCGGAATGTTTAACTCTTTAATAGTCATATGACCAGCATGAAAATTACCGTACGGAGAGGAAAATGTGGAATGAAAGTATTTTGCAAATAAGTCACTTATTTGTTGTCCATTCACAGCTGTTTCATTTTGCAGTGACATATTGCTAGGAAATGAATGATTATTCTTGTAGGATTTAACATATCTCCAAAACGACTTTGGATTGCTAGCAATGTGTTTTTCCGTTAGTGAGATAAAATTACGGTAACACTCTCTTTCAACATCCTTAGCTCTTGCACGTAGAAATGAAAAAGATTCATAATCACCTAGATTGCCATAGGTCTTGTACTTACGATGGTATTTGTTTTTATTTCGTAGTATCTTTATCAAAGGCTGACTATACCAAGGCGGGTAACGAGAGCATTTAACAGTTTTAGTCGGTATGTATAAATTTCTTAACTCATATATTTTATTATAAAATAATTTTGTCGCATTATCCAAACTGTCTACATTAAGTTGAGAGTACCAATCAAAGACATTTAATTCAGCTCGTATCTTGTCAAACCTACCCTTAGAATAAATGTATTTGGTTTGATTTAAAACTGGTAGTTCATTGACCTTAACAGATTTTATAAGAATAGATAAAGCTTTGTGATGAACATCTTCCGGAATAAGCGGGTCGCAAGCTATTACACAGGTGTCAGAATTGCTCAACACAAGATCTAAAATCACATTATTTATATTATATACACAATTGTACTGCCGTAATCCTAAATAATTCAGGGTGTTAATAAATAAGTCATAAAGATCACTCACATAGCTAGTCGCCGTCATCTCCGAATTATCCGGGCTTGTTTCCCATTTAATAGCAGGCACATTAAAATCGCCAGCAATAAAAAATTTGTCATTGGGATGAGATAACATAATGTCCATAAGTTTGTCACAAAACTTACGTAGTTGCAAGTCAAATGAGTTACCTCTATTTTCTTTACATAAGTAGACAGTACATACGTGTATACGACATCGGTTAATACTTATGCTCACCCAAATGTCCTCTGCAGAGGATTGCCATTCAGTTACCTCAACAGAAGTTAACTCACGTTTGATCGCTATTAAGACTCCACCGCCCAATTTTTGTCCTGTTCGTAAATAATTACGATCCCGCCTCCAAACAATGTACCTGTCATCAAACAGCTCAGAACTATATATGCTATCTATTAGCCAAGTTTCAGTCAAGCATATAATATCATAATTATTTAATAGTATATTTCTACAAAAATTATCAGTTTTCGACCAAAGGCCTCTTACATTCTGATAGTACACGTTTAAAGATATTATTTACAATAACAAAAACAATATTTTCCTAAATATTTAACTATAGTAAAGTGTGTAAAATGTCGAGGCGGTACGTTGAAACATAAACTAGTCATAAGTATACTTGTAATAAAATATGTAATTATTCGACAACAGCATATTATATCTTTAGTTAATTTCTGTAGGGTATATAAGGAATGTGTCAGCAGTGTATATAGATAGGTATAATTTAAAAAATATAAAATTAATATTAATATAAACCAATTTATAGGGCGCAGTGTACCCCTTCGGAAAAGAAATGTAACTATTCCGACATAATATAGATTTTTAAATAAGCGATTAAATAGTGTTAACCGTAAAATTACATTTAAGTTATTTGTGTGATCCAAAATAGGGTATAGCAAAATTTTCAATAGAAAAAATATTCTCTGTTTGTACATTACAAGCAAGTAGTAAACTATGTAACGAGTTATCAACTCTATAGTATTGCTTGTTCGGGTAAAAATTGTTAAGCATAGGGCTAATTTACCTGCCTTGAGTTTGAGCTCATGCGGACAATAGAAAAATTGAATCATACGGACCCAACCAGTGGTTTCAAAACATTTAATAGTTTTAATATATTTTGTTGCGACTTTTTCAAATACATGACATGAACTTATATCATTTTTTGAAGGTCTCTTTCTGTCTTTATCGATATGATGGGAGATGTGGTATTTTTTCGTGCAAGGATTTTCGAGTTCTTCACCCATACGAACTGGAAATTTTTTTCTTGAGCAACAGTCTTAGTCTTATTAAGTAAAGTTTTGTTGTAGGCAGTTAGGTGATCGTTCACAAAGATACGGTTGTTGCCTTGTAGACCTATAGCAATGGTGGTGAGTGGAGACATGGACGAATATTTTCTGGCAGCAGTGACGAAGTCCTCCTTTACAAAACGATTGTTGAAACATACAATTATAGGCTTAGCGCTGTTTGGATCTCGATTAGGCACCCTAGTGACGTAGTTAATTTGGCTTTTAGAGAGTGTGAAATCAACTTTAGAGCCAATGGAAATAACAATATCCAAAAGGTTTTCACCTTTTTTCATGGGCACTCCTTTTATTTCCGCATTATTTAATCGAGCCCACTGGTCTTTAAACTGTATTTGAATCTCAAGTTTTTCAACCTTCTGGGATAGGCAAACAACTTTCTCCTTATCACATTCGACTTCTTTAACACGTGATTCAAGGTGCACAATTTTTTTGGAGAGTTCCTGGATGACGTTGTTCGTTTGGACGTTAGATTTTTGGAGCTGCGTGAGATTATCCTTCAGGTACTTAATGTCCTCAACAATAGAATCAAGAGAATTTAGTTTATTTGCAATATCCTTGATTTCCTTCATCAATTGTGTTGGAGTTATCTCTTGGTGTTCGAGATCGGTTGGGCCTGAAGGCTTAGTAGTTGAAGGCTGCGAGGGAGATTTACCTTGTCCTTGTCCTTGTTTACACTTTGGACACCGCCAGGTCATTTTTCGATCACCCAATTTACGGTATCCCGGTTCACTGATACCTGCGCAATGGAAGTGAAGACAACTCTTACAAAGACTGCAGTCCGCTCCATCTGCAACTTGTTCTTTGCATTTACTGCAGGTCGGCATAGTAAGCAATTCACGCAGTTTGAGAATCACTAACAACAAAACGTAATTTCAATCAATATGCACGTTCACTACTATTGTATACGTTATAGAAAGTTCAACTTTGCGAGCGTCGAGTATACGGTTGTTTTTTATTTAGAAAAATTGAGGAAATGATTAAATTGGAATAAGGTAGTGCGCACAACTGTTTCGCTCGTTGGCGTACAATGAATTTTTTCATCATGGGTGTCAATATGAATACCAATGTGTTTTTAAATGGGGAGGAATTGAGCCCTGTTGTATCCACTGTTTTTCTTGGCATCACTCTTGACGCAAAGCTTCAGTGGGGCCCCCATATATCCAAATTAGCAAGCAGACTAAGTTCTGCAGCCTATGCTGTAAAAAAGATTAGAGGTCTCACTAGTGTCGAGACAGCTAGATTAGTTTATTTTAGTTATTTCCATAGCATAATGTCTTATGGGATTTTGCTATGGGGAAATGCGGCTGATTCAGAAACTATTTTTGTTTTACAGAAGAGGGCCATTAGAGCTATTTACAATCTAAAACCGAGAGAGTCCCTTAGAGTTAAATTTAAAGAAATTAATATATTAACTTTGGCCTCTCAGTATATTTACGAAAATTTAATGTATGTTCACAAAAACAAAGATAGTTTTAGTAAAAGAAGTGATATACATTCTGTAAACACTAGGAACAAACACAAGCTAGTGATACCAGTTTCTCGACTCCACAGAGTCAGTAATTCATTCTTGGGGCAATGTATACGCTATTACAACAAGGTCCCGGAAAGTGTACAGGTTCTCTCTATTACCAAGTTTAAATGTTTTATTAAGCTTAAACTGTATAAAAAGGGTTATTATAGTATTAATGAATACATGGTTGATAATAACCCCTGGGAATGAGGTGGTCGCTTCCAAGCAGTTTCTAAAATAAATTTTGTAAATAGTTCGTAATAATTTATATTGTAAAATTTATTTAAAAAAAAGTCCCGCTGGGTTTCTTGTTGGTTCTTCCCAGGACAGAGGGTTTTTTTCGAAGTAAAAAATGACTTTCAATAAGAATTACACATGTAATGTATATTGAATAAAAAAATATTCTATTCTATTCTATTCTATTCTATTCTAAGGACCACGTCTCAATTCCATAAGTCATCACTGGCAACATGGAAGTAGGTACCAATTTTTTCATCATGGGTGTCATTTCCATGGTTTTCGAGGGTGTTGAAGCTGATAGTGCTGCCGAAATGTAAATCCAAGATGGTGGCTGAATTAGGTACAATTTTTTTATCATGGGTGTCATTTTCATAGTTTTCGAGGGTGCTGAAGCCGATAGGGCTGTCTAAATGTAAATCCAAGATGGCGGCTGCAATAGATATAAATTTTTCATCTTGGGTGTCATTTTCATGGTTTTCGAGGGTGTTGAAGCCGATAGTGCTATTGAAATGTAAATCCAAGATGGCGGCAGCAATAGGTATCAATTTTTTCATCATGGATGTCATTTTCATGGTTTTGGAGAGAGTTGAAGCCGATAGGGTTGTCGAAATGTAAATCCAAGATGGCGGCTGAAGTAGGTACCAATTTTTTCATCATGGGTGTAATTTTCATGGTTTTCGAGGGTGTTGAAGCTGATAGTGCTGTCGAAATGTAAATCCAAGATGACGGCTGAATTTGGTACCAATTTTTTTATCATGGGTGTCATTTTCATAGTTTTCGAGGGTGTTGAACCCGATAGTGCTGTCAAAATGTAAATCCAAGGTGGCGGCTGCAATAGGTATCAAGTTTTTCATCGTGGGTGTCATTTTCATGGGTTTCGAGGGTGTTGAAGCCGATAGTGCTGTCGAAATGTAAATCCAAGGTGGCGGCTGCAATAGGTATCAATTTTTTTAATCATGGGTGTCATTTTCATGGTTTTCGAGGGTGTTGAAGCCGATAGTGCTGTCGAAATGTATTTAAACTCCTTTAAAAAATTCCGTATAACCATGTTATACGTAATTTTTTTAATGCGCTTAAGGTATGCCCAATTGGATTTACCAATATATTTATATATACTTCAAAAGAAGAAGAAAAGTGACAGGTGACAATTGTCCATATTTTGAAATATATCGTTTAAAATAACTATTTATTATAATATTATTTTATATATAATTATACATTTGATGCGAAAAAGGATGCTTTATACAGTGGTGTAAATTTCTATAAGCACAAATTTGACGAAAAAATTTTAGGAGTGAAAAACGGACATTTTCGTGAACACCGCCGGATTTTGATGTTTGCCGAACCAAATCAGAAAGTGGCAGATTGTGTATTATCTCATATAAGGAAAGATTCCACGCCACGCAAGCCTTACAATTCCAACCTTGACATCAATAAATCAGGTGAGCCTAGCAATATGACTACTCGAAAGCATAAACACGACAACGACTTCTCAGAGGCTCTCAATAATTTTACCTCAGAGATACGTAGAACTTTACATGACTGGAAAAAGGAAATTCAAGATGAAATATCAGGAATTAAAAATAATTTAGACTTCGTATTAAAAACTGATCTTGAGAAACTAAATGCATCCTTTGCTGAGATCATGTCGGAACTAAGCAGCGTCCGTCAGGAATATCACGAGATTAAAAAGTCGGTCATATCTCTTGACCTAAAGTACAACGAGACAATGAAGCAAATCACAGTTTTAGAAAACTCTGTACAATTCAATTGCGACCAATATGACCATGTTCAAAAGAAAATGGAATTATTATCTGTTAACAAAAAAGCAATCGAATCACTAGAATCTAAAATGGACTTATTGACTAACGAAAACAGACTATTACAATTGGAAATTAACACAAATAATCAAAGAGATCGCCTTTTGAACTTAGAGATCGTCGGCGTTCCTGAAATCAAGGATGAAGACTTAACCAATTTAATTATATCCATTGCTAAACAGTCTAATGTAACTATTTCCCCTAATGATATATTAGAAGTTAATCGTGTCACACCGAAAATCAAACAACAGGGCCGCCCGAAAAATATAATTGCAAAGCTTAAATCCCGTCTTCTAAAGGACAACATAATCTCTGGCACTCGAAAAAACCGACTGACCACCAAAGACCTTGCCATACATGGCAGCGTTCGTCCCGTATATGTCAATGAGCATCTTACACAGTGCAATAAACTTCTACTAAAGAAATGTAGGGAGACGGCGAAACTTAAGCAGTATCAATATGTGTGGACAAAAAACGGGAGGATCTACGTCAGGAAGAACGACACATCTCCGGCTTTGCATATATCACAGGAAAGAGACGTTTTAAAATTAATTTAATCTTACATTGTATATTGTTTTGTTCTCTTTTCAAGTACGTTATATTGCTTAAATTTATCAATTCCATCGTTGTAAAAGCAATTCATTGGTCTCTCTTATCTCATTTTGTCTATATTATATATCATTGTTTGACCGCACGTAAAGGGAGCTCAATTAATGAAATATTTTTGGTCTTAAGTGTATTAGTCACACGCGCGATAATTGTGCAGCTAAGTTGCATCCATATTCTTCACGAACGTTACTCAACTATATATATATTATGGTTTCTTTTACTATATCCTTTATATTTAATAAAATACCAATTATATTTTTTCTGGCGTCTTGTATATTATGTATTAATTTATTTTACTTTGTCAATCTATGAATTCATCTATTATATTGTTATTATTCATAATAATTACCCGTTCAATATTTATTTATTAAATCTAACAACAATACTTAAAACGTCTATATTGTTACATTCGCGATATTTATATATATATTTAATAACTGCTCTGCATATTTATAAGCTCGCACCCTTTTATGTTGACTCGACTATATTAATCAAATCGTTTAAGGATTCATTCTGTTATATCTTATTGATAAATTTTATACTCTACCACCTTATACAAAAAATCAAGTCACTATTAACTAGCAACTGCCGAAGTGATATATCATTGTTCGTACTACTTAAGTCTAACGTAAACAAATTATTAGTTCTGTTACTCTGTGTAGCTTTAAAGTACTATAAATTTAACACAATTGGGTACATATTTGATTTTGATTAATGGCTGTAAATAATTTGTACTGTTATTATCAGAATGTTCGTGGTCTTAGGACTAAATGTCTTGAATTACGACTAAATTTTTTGACGAACGATTACGACATTATAATTATGACAGAATCATGGCTACACAGTGGAATTTTTGATGGTGAATTGTGCGACGATAGGTATGACGTGTTCAGGGCTGACAGAGATTTGCGTAATAGTGGTAAAAGTACTGGTGGTGGAGTATTAATACTGACACGACGTACACTCGGTGCCATGTATCGTGACCTCGGCGAATGCGGTCTTACTGAGCTATTGTGGATCACTATTCCTTCAAGCGCGTGCGCTTCAAATTCCAACTTACATATTTGTGTGGCATATATTGCCCCTGACCCTCATCAAATGCCATCGGATCTCGTTTTTATTAAACAAAAAATTAATAGTATTATCGAGCTTTCTCCAAATGATAATTTTGTAATATTAGGAGATTTCAACTTGCCGTTCATTTCTTGGAACCCAAACGGATATACAGCTTTGAAAAAAGGACCTACTGAGGTACAAGAAGCGAGTATCCAGCTGATGGAAACACTAACATTTCACGGGTTAAGACAATTTAATACTTTAAAAAATCATGCTGGTAACACATTAGATCTTGCATTCTCTAATCTACCTCTGAATATCATCCCTGCGGCTGCGCCGCTACTCAGGGAGGACCACGCACATCCTTCTTTTTGCTTCATAGTTTTGGATTTAAACATTACTCCTCTACGGGAAACAGCTGCGCCGAGGCGAAATTTCAGGAGGGCTGATTATGAAAAAATTAATACATATCTTTTAGAACAGGACTGGAGGTCTCTTTTATGTACAGGCACTGTAGACGAAGCTACAAATACCTTTTATAACATACTGGATAGTTGTGTTCGTTTACATGTGCCTTTTAGTTATAACA